TTGCAGTATTCCAGCCTAGAGGTGACAAGGGCCCGAGTGACTGTTGTGAGAGCCTCCCGGTTCAGGTAGGGTCGCAACTGGCGCACCAGGCGAACCTGGGCAAATGCCCCCCTGGTGCACCTCTCCCAAGCATGCTACAGTAATCTGAGATCCAACTCTAGCCAAAACTATGCTTGGAATGCACCCCCCCTCTCCTCACCATGGCAACTGTGTGAATTGACAGTAAGAGGAGAAAAGAAGAGATGAAATCATTTTTAGCAAGTTACATATAGCGGAACCCTTACCTAAAGAAGCCACGATCCTAGACGTTTCCAACATGACTTCTTGATACAGAGCTTTCTGGCTGGGATCAAGAAGCAACCACTCTTCACTGTTGAAATGGATGGCCACCTCCCTAAAGGACACAGGACCCTAAAAAAGGAAGAATCCCTGTGAGCAGACTCGGTCTCCTTTCAATCTGCAAATCCTAAAAGCATTAATGTCTATGGAGATTCTTAGTCATTCATGGTTGTCCCAAAGGTGCTTGAACACTAAAGAGATCCACGAGGATGCCTAATTTTAAACTGGTGTTGGTTATAAAAGATTCTTGATCAGTCCTTGAAGAAGATTCACCATTTTGTGAATCAACCAAAATATATTAATCCTATAGATCAGTGATAGCTGACCTTTTTCTAACGGTGTGCTAAAATTTTGCTTGCACAAAATCTCCTCCCCCCCCGGCACATGTCCATGCCCCCCATCCCACGTGGAAAGTAAGTTTTCGCCCTCCCAAGGGATCAGGATAGCTTCCGGATCTGGGGAGGGCGAAAAATAGGCCCAATGAGCAAACCGTTGGTTTGGGCCTGTTTTTCACCTTCCCTAGGCTCCGGAGGCTTTCCTGAAGCCTGAGAAGGGTGAAAAACAGCCGACGGGGAATTCAGGAATGAACTTCCAGTTTGCCCGCTGGGCCGTTTTTCACTCTCCCCAGGCTTCAGGAAAGCCTAAGGAGCTTGGGGAGGGTGAAAACAGCCTCCCCCGACCCTCCGGAAGGCTGAAAATCAGCTGGGCGGCCTGTGCATGCTGTGCCAGCAAATATGGCTTGCGTGCCATAGGCTCACCATTACGGCTATAAATGATATTAAAATAGAACAAGAGACACAACTAGGTGTAGAAAACGTAGAAAACTATCAACCTACTATGTCATCTTTACAAATACCAGATAATGCAAACAACCTAACTGTAACCTCAGAATATAAATCTGACCACCAAACACTTGGATAGACACTAATATTATTTTATTTCAAAAGAAGAGACTCAGATTTGACACAGATAAAGAACTATAGGCCTATATCATTATTAAATGCTGGTTATAATTTTTTTGCATCAATAATGGCAGAGGAATTAAAAAGATTTCTGAATGAATGAATCCACCCAGATCAAAATGGGTTCCTTCCAAAAAGCCACAGGAACCCTGGGGGCAAGTGACCATGCAATATTGGAATTCAACATTATGCAAACACAAGTAGTAGA